GGAGTTATTAAAGAAGACAAGAAAAGGACAGAGGCAACACTCCAAATTCAATACCGCATTAGCACTTGAGAGCACTAAAGTGCAGTGTTATACATGTACATGTATGAGCTATTCAACCGTTAAAGGAGTTGCAAACATCTCTTGCAGTTAGCAAGTCAGTTTAGCAATCCCCTACCAGTCCTCACCCTCCCGCCCCCCCCCTCCCACTGTATACTCATAATTCACCTTTTTCACCCAGGCATAGGTCACAGGCCACCAAGAAAGGCCCTCAACGTGTCTCTGTTCTGGGCAATTTTTCAAAATAATCAGGCCATTAGCCATTTCAAAAAGTCTCCCAAAAGACCTTCGAATAACTCATCCCTTTCTACCTATACGTTCTCTGACCGTCTAGCTTTCTACCATCTTGTGAGCATTGAAGCAGACAGTAGCGAAGAGAACAAGGATAGTTTGTTTTGTTTTTTCACAGCATTGAATTACGCACCTTATTGTTGTAAAGCTTCATCTTGAACCTGTCAAAGTAGTAATATGTGCACGCCTCCTCCTCCGATAGCTCATTGTACTTGGAAACAGCTTCGAACCCAAACGCTTCGAACTGGCCATCAGATTTGAGCAGCAGGCAAGTTGGTGTTTTGTGCAGCAGGAAACCTGATCGTTCAAGAGAGAAGAAGATAAGCAAGCATAATAATTTTGTTGTTTTATACCCTTACGAACACAAAATAAGTTAGGCCTATTTGAGGAAAATGCAAATTCTTGCTTTATCTAAATTAAATAGAAATTGGTAAATAACCATAATTGTTGCTGCAAGAACCAGGGGAGAGTTTACATATTCGACAGCTCTTTGCAGTCATCCATCAGGTGTTAATGATCATGCATCACTTGATAAATAACTGCTGCCGATATGGAGACAGGCAAAATATTGATGTTCTCTGTCCACTAAAATAAGAAAGAAAAAGCGGGAAATGGCTTAGTTTTATCTGATATGGTACTGGGGCTTTCTAGTTAACTCTCCTAACCTAAAGCCATGACTTATTAGTATAAAAAATGAAATTTTAATAAGGTAGGCCTATACGGAGGTTCTAGAGTACGATGTCCAAAGCAGAAAAGTTGATTTATAGTTTTATGTGTTTGGAAGAGTGCATGCAATATTCAGTATTCTATGTCAGAGCCCTATTTGATGACAAAGTTGAATTCAGATTGTCAGACTTGATAACTCAGTGTAATATTGGAGTGAGTCAATAGATAGATAGATAGATAGATAGATAGATAGATAGATAGATAGATAGATAGATAGATAGATAGATAGATAGATAGATAGATAGATAGATAGATAGATAGATAGATAGATAGATAGATAGATAGATAGATAGATAGATAGATAAATAGATGAAGAAGAAGTAGCCTACAACATGTGCATGGTATGAGCTATTGCGACGTCTCGGCTGCTTTTAATTTCTAGCCAGAGGCTAGCTAATAGCAATCAATTAATAAAAATAATAAAAATAATAATAATAACAATAATAGTAATAATAATAATAATTAATAACAAGCATGATAACTATACTAACCATAAGCATAATCATAGTCATCGTGATCATGATAATAATAATAATAATAATAATAATAATAATAATAATAATAATAATAATAATAATATAAATCTGTCTTGCTTTGCGTCAGTGCACAAAAGCCGAAAAATAGAGTGCACTGAAAATTGAAAATGGTAGCGTCATGAGTTGACATTCTAATCTTAATGAGTAAATCGTATGGGAATAGCTCGGCCTGGACAGGATTTTGTGAGTCACAATAATATTGGTTTTCCACCCCACCCCCACCCCGCCCACGCAAGGAACACGGGATCTAAAATCGTTCACTGAGCCTTTCACATCTCTCCAAGCAGGGGCTATTGATGGGAGCAATGGAAAAAAAATGTATGCAAAGGAAAAGAAAAAACAAGACTTTTTTTTTTTTGGGTCTGTGAATGAACGAAGGAAAAGGGTGGAGAGGGGACGGGTAAAATGAGTACTGAGATGGAGCGCAGTGGTGGAGTGGGGTTGAAGAAAGAAAGGGGAAATTCTGGGAAAACGTTGAGATCAACTCCCAGACCAATCAATACTTTGAGGAGGTGGAACATAATCGTTCTCCATGGAACAAAAGGCTGGGCAAATAATAATTATTAATGAAGTTATATCCGGACGGTTAATATTATAATATTATTATGCTGATAATGAAAATGGCATTTGGTAGAAAACGTTAAAACCAGAAAGATCTAATATGAAACTGTTATGAGAGGGTACCGTAACGCGAAATAATATAATAAAATTATTATATTCCCAGATACTCCAAGACAGACAATTTGTACTAGACAAGCAAATTGTACGTAAAACGCCACAACAATATTGCTTATAAATACAGAAGCGTTCAAAAAGATGGGGTTATTTTTGCCAATGTATTAATATAACGACTCCTATCCAGCGCGTTGTGTATTCTCTGGTTTCTCTTTGATTCATTGTTGTTTTGGCGTGGTTTGGTTGTCGCTGTTCTTGTTTTGTTTAGTTTGTTGTTGTTGTTGGGTTTTTTTGCTGCTTTTTTGTTGTTGTTGTTGTTGTTGTTGTTGTTTTA